ATAGTATGATTATGAATGAATACAATATTAAAAAACTCACTTTAGTGGAAGTGAAATTATATGTTCAAACCAAGTCCTATTCATAATTTTTCCAGGAACCAATGCTAGTTATAAAAAAATTTCGCTCTAAAATTAATATATCGTGTAACCATTAAAATATTGCTATTACGTATATAAGTAGTAAATTCAAATTTTTTCCCTTGTTTACCATAAAAAAAAAATGAATTCGAGTTTTCAAATTGAGCGTAGAAAATACAGATGATAATAGGATTTCAATTGACAAAAAAAAACAACAAAAAACAATTTATCTTTTCTTGAAAAACGTAGAATTTGCGAAGAACTATAATTACAATAAATTTTTTTTATATATAGAAATTCTTTATTCTTTTATAGAAAATATCTTTAAAGTCAATTTATATCATGAAATTAAAGAGTGACTTTCGATAATAGCATAATTCGATAAATTCATAAAATTTGCTGCGCCAACAAGGCCTATGAATTTGACAAGAATAGAAAGAAACCTAAACCTAATTGTAATAAACCGGTATCTCATGCGACATTTGTGGGATGTGCAACAAAAAATGTTCCTATGCATGATTTATTTATGCGATAGACCAAATTCGTACTAATACATTTTCTTTGTGAGAAAAAAAAAATTATACCAGAAAAGAGATGAATGAAAATCGTTTAAAAAAAAACTTTTGTAACTACTTATAATAATATTAATATATTTTTTAAAATTTAAAAATTACCCACGGTTTCTAGGCATGGTTAGATAAAACAGGTTTTATGATCAGTAAAAAATGACGTTTTTCTTTTTTTGAAAACAAAGAAAAAAGTCTATATATAAATAAAAGGAAAAAAGTTGCAACTAATTTTTATTGGCTGATCAGAAGGAACAACATCGAATTGTTTTTTTTTTTTAAAAAAGCAAATGTTAAAAAATGTCCTCTTCCGTCGTATAAGGTGAAAAGTTTGAACAAGATTTTTATAATTTCAAAATATGTGAGTGTAGAAATGTTATCGAGTAAGATGAATATCCCACCGAGTTTTTGTCAAGTCGTTATGTATCTGAAGTAGTAAAGCTTTAGACTTGACGTGGACCGCTTGCTGTGAACGTTCTTTTCCGTTTCCGAAACCTACTGCTGCAACACTTGAGCGATGCCTTGTCCTTGCGCCGGGAGCGAAGCGGTGAATAGGATGCATGAATCATGGGATTGAAAGCACATCGTAGCCGTAGTTACAAAACGACTGCGAATGTTCTTCCATGGTTCTTGACAATGATGGATGACACAATACTCATTATACTTTTTTGTATATTAATATTTTTAGGCTCTCGCCAGGTGACGGTAGCATGGACATAATCGGTATTTCACCGGAATCCCAATTATAATCCAATGCAAGAATTAGAAGCAGAAAATCGTCAATGAATTGTATTTTTCTTTGTATTAATATGTCTTGGATTATAATTAACTATTTTGAATGATTATATATAGGTCGTTTGGTTGTACGTGATCTAGAAGAGATGTTATCTAGATGCCATAAATATATGATTGACAGACCTTGTTTAGTTTCTTGAAAATCAATGAACTCAAAGCTCTTACAATATCAATATTAATGCTTTACCTATTTCTTTTTTCTCAACAATTACAGATCTTTTATAAATAAATGTTTTCTTTTAATGATGATAATGTAATTGTGATATTAATAATAGTGGTGGCCATGAATAGTATTGCCTACATTAATGTCACCCACGTGTTATTATCAAAAATAAAATTCCTTTTTTGATAAATTAACTTTTTCTTCTAGGTGGTGTACGTGTCCCTGCTTATTTCAACTTCATGCTAACATAGTAACAAAGTTTGTGGCGCATCGATTTATTAGTCTCGATCATGGAAATGTAGATAGTCATTCATATTGAAGCAATATCAGAACAAATATTATTAACCAATATAAATAAAATCACATTATATCCATTGTATAATCTTACTATGATGACAACACCACTCCTAAGGTGCGAATTCTTCATCCATTTGAAATCAAGCTCAAAAATCATTCTTATAACGTTTAATTCCTATCTGCGTGGCACAGTTAACAGTTATTTCAAACTAAAACTAAAAATATTAGAACATCAAAAACGCATTTCGCTTATATATGTTTGGCCATATTTTTTTTTTTTTTGAAAAAAAATAAAAATGAATTCAATATTTGAAAAATATTTTAATGAAAATGAAAGATTATTAAATACAGAAGATTTTTATGATGTAAAAATATACATTGGTATAGAACCAAACATCAAAGAAGTTCATGCACATTCATCAATTTTGTCGGCTCATTGTCCATTTTTTAACAGTGCATTAAATGATGCAACAAAAGAAAATGGGTATTATATTATTAAGAAAGTTAATATTAATGAAAAATGTTTCAATCTTATTCTCAAGTAAGTTTAAATAAATTGTTTAAATAAATTTATTATCATGTTAAATTGCTTTATTTATATATAATAATGCTATTTATTTTGAAAGATTTTTATATACTTGTAAAATTGAACTTGAAAATTGTTCTGGAGCTGAAATGTTGGAACAATTAATTGCAGCAGATCAACTTGGCATTGAGTCACTTTATGAATACATGATGAAATACTTTATTGAAAATTATGAAGATTATATAAAAGGAAATCCAGTTAAAATTTTACATTTTATTTATGGTAATAAAAATTTTGTGGAACTGAAAAATATCTATTTGGAAAATTTTTGTGAATATAATGAAAAATTATTTGGATCAAGCGAATTTAAAACATTGGAAAAACCAGTTCTTTTAGAAATTCTCAAAAGGGATGATTTATCTGTTGATGAGATGGTTATTTGGGAAAACGTTCTTGAATGGGGATTGGCAAAACATCCAGAAATCAATAATATTAACAATGTTAGAGATTGGTCATCACAAAATTTTGTTGATTTAGGCAACACATTAAAGGAATTTATTTCTCTAATAAGATTCCAGGATATTTCTAAGGAATATTTGTTTGATAAAATTGAACCATATCAAATGCTTTTTCCTAGAACTTTATGGAAAACAATTTTACAACCTCACTTATTTCCTGATATACAACAAACATTAAATTTATTACCATCAAGAACTCCTAAACTTGAATCATTAACAATCAATTACAAACTTATTTTGCTTTTTTCAAGTTGGATTGATAGAAAAAGTCCACCATATAGATCATTCAAAGAAGTCAAATATGAATTCAAACTTCTATATCGTAGTAGCAGAGATAGTTTAAATGCTGCTATATTTCATCAACAATGTGACAACATCAACAAAACTCTTGTAGTTGGCAAAATACAAAATTCAGAGCAAATAGTTGGTGGTTATAACCCACTTAATTGGTGTGGAGGTAGTTTTGGTATTGGTATATTTAAAAATACAACTGAAAGCTTTATATTTAATATAAGTAATAGGAAAGATATCAATACTGCGCAATTTAGTTATGTTATCAATAATAATTATGAGAAAGCAATTCATTGTTATCCTTTTAGTTTACCTAGGTTTGGTAGTGGTCATGATATTCGTTTTTATATGAATGGTGAAGTTGATAGTAACCCAGAGACTTATAATAACATCAATATATGTATTGATAAATTTGATGAATTAGAAGTTTTTCAAATAATTGATAAAAAATAAAATAATAAATACAATGTTAGATTATTACTTTTATTATTGTATACTTTAACTACTTTATTTATTTATAAATTTTTATTGATAAACATATGACCAGATTTAATACATTAGCTTGATTATCACTAGTTAAAAATTTATATAATTTTGAGGTATTATTTAGAGATCCCTTTAATTGTAACCATTCATTCTAATTTTTAGAATATTTTATTCTCACCAAAACAATTTTTTGGAAAATTTGGAAAATATTAAATACAAAAGGCTTTCATGATGTAAAAATACATATTGATGTAGAGCTAAACATTAAAGACATGTATCTATTATATCAACTCATTGTCCATTGTTAACAATGCATTACAAAAGAAATGGATATTATACTATTAAGAAGGCTAATATTAGTGAAAAACTTTTCAACCCTACTCTCAAGTAAGTTTAAATCAATTTATTATATATTAATATATTAACACACCCATTTAATAATTTATTTATTTTGAAAATATTTACATACATGTAAAATTGAATTTGAAATTTTTTGGAGCTGAAGTATTGGAAATATTAATTGCAGCAGATCAACTTGGCATTGAGTCACTTTATGAAAACACTTTATTGAAAATCATGAAAATTATATAAAATGAGTTTGAATCATTGGATTTTCTATTGATGAAAACAATTATTTGGGAAAAAATTCTCAAAATGGGGATTAGAAAATCATCCAGAAATCAATAATATCAATGCTGAAGATTGGTCATCACAAAATCTTGCTGATTTGAGCAACATATTAAAAATTTTTTTCTCTGATAAGGTTTCAGAATTCTCTAAAAAAGAATTTTTTTATAAAATCGAACCATATGGTATACCTTTTCTTAGGACTTTATGTGGAAATACTATTTTTTCCTGGTAGATAGCAAGCATTAAATTTACTACCATCAAGAATTATATACCTTATCCAAAAAAGTCAAGCATGAATTCAAGCTTCTATATCATAATAGTAGAGGTGGTTTAAATGAAAACAGAATTCATCAAAAAATTCAACTGAAAGTTTTATATTTTAATATAAGCAATAGGAAAAATGTCAATATAATTATGTTATCAATAATGATTATGAACATACAATTCATTGTTATCCTCTTAGTTTACCTAGGCCATAATGTAAATTTTGTTACAAATGGTAAGGTTTATAGTTACCCATTAACTTATTATAGCGATGGTGGTAAATCTGATGAGTTAGAAATTTTCAAATAGTTGATTAAAAAATAAAATAATAAACACTGCGAGCATGTAAATACCAATATACAAGTTTGAGAGGCATCCGATAAATATAAAAAATTGAACAAACTATAAGTTCAATAATCATATGAATACTACTGACACACAAACTTATGTATTAAATGCCAACACACAACTAAAGCTTCGAACGGTTCGGTTTTTGAACGAACCATTCGAAGCTTTAGGCCAAAAACTACTTGGCAATCACTGGTATTCTAACCTAATAAACTTATTATTATAGCAACCAGTATCCCGGTTGAACGAGTTTTTCCTGGAGACACAAAGGCGTTGTAGTTTAAAACCTGAAACAATAAGAGTTTGAATGCGTTGAAAGAGTTTGTGAAGACGATGAATTTTTTATATGAATTGAAAAAATAGAACGTCCTTTAAGTTTCTATTCGAATAAGGTTTATTCGAATTACTTGCTTCATTCATTATGAATTTGAGTATTCTAATTACATTGAAAGTTTAGTCGAATAAAACGAATAAAACGAACAAAACGAATAGAGCGAATAGAACAAATAATAATAATATTATGAAAAACTTCAAGCGTACAAAATTTGTGTAATACATCTATGAATGAATATGCCATAATTGTATTATGTATGAAATGGATAAAGTTCTCCATTCTAATTTTGGCAAAAATGGACCATCGCTACTATGGTATAAAAATTATAACTATGTTTATGTATTTAGAAACAGGATCCTTCCAATATATCTACTTCGCAACACATTCGCCAAAACCAAGCTACAATTTATTATAATTTTTTTGTGAAGTTATTATGTATATTTTTGCATAATTAACAAATTTAGAATGTATGAAATTTTTGGATCAATATGTGCTTGAGAATTAGTTTTACATATCTAAACTCGATAAGTCGGACGCAGCAATCAATTGTTTAAAGTACTTTATAATATAAATAAATGTCCGACTTATCGAGTTTAGATGTGTACATTTTTTGTTAACTTTTACTCCTTTGTATCACATAAATTTTGGTGAGACCTTTTTGACTGTTGATCGTGTTTTTTTTTGCATTCGAGTTTTGACATGAAATGGATACTGTAGTGCTAGCTAGCGCCAGAAAAAGGTAAAGTAACGAATAATTTTGTTGATTACGATAGATTCAAATTTTGGAATTCTTGAAATTCTTGATTATAAAAATTAAAAGCTCGCTTTTTATCTAAATAAATTGTAAAAAAACCATTCCAAAATAAGTTTTCAACATGGGTTAATTTTTTTAAAACTCATCATTAGAGACATCTCATAAATGAGTAATATTTTCTAGAATATTCTTTAATTCTATAGAATCATTTTCGCCCAAATTCAAAATGATTTAAATGCAATTAGTCACGTAATTCAATAACCAAATTGAACGAGCGAGTCGGGTTTAAAGTGATTCGATTTAAATTTAAATCAAACCAGATTTTTAAACTGATATTTATTTTAAATAAAATGTTGCATTTTACATGTTTTTTATATGTGTTAAAATGACATTTTTTATTAATACAATTAAACATCTCCAATCTATAAATCTATAGATAAGGAATAATAATAACAATAATAATAATAATAATAACGACAATAATAATAATAACGATAATAATAATAATAATAATAATAATAATAATAAAATATATTTTGATTTTTTTTAATTTTTATCAATCACTTCAAAAACTTCTAATTCGTTAAATTCACTGCCATGTATTATGTTGATATCATTATAAGTCTTTAATATACTATGAACTTTGCCATCTGTACGAAAGCAAATATCACAACCCAGGCCAAAAGCAGGTAGATTAGAAGAACTACATTTAATTGCATGGTTATAATCATCATTAGCCACATAACTAAATTGTGCTGTAGTGATATCGTTTCTATCTATATTAAATATAAAACTTTCATCTGTACTCTTGTATATACCGCTTCCGTTCCAATCAAGCGGATTGTAACCACCAACTATTTGTTCTGAACTTTCTAATCTAGCGACTACAAGAGTTCGATTGATATCGTCACATTTATGACGAAACGCAATTCTCTTTAAACCATCTCGACTACTCTGATATATGAGCCTAAATTTGTAATTAACTTCACTGATTAAACTATATGACGTGCTCTTTCTATCGATCCAGCTTGCAAATAGTAAAATAAGCTTCTGATCATTTATTAATGAGCCAAGTTTTAGAATTCTTGGTGGTGATAAATTTAAAGATGATTTGCTTTTAGGAACTATGTAATAGTGTAAAAGGTCATTCCATAAAGTTTTATGGAAAAGTTTTTGATATGGTACAATTTTATTAAAAAAATCCTCATTGCAAATTTCCTGGAACCTGATCAAAGAAACAAATTCTTTTAATGTGGTTTCTAAATCAATAAAATTTTGCGATGACCAATCTTCAACATTGATATTGCTGATTTCTGAATGTTTTGCTAATCCCCATTTGAGAAGATTTTCCCAAACATCGATTTCATCAACAAAAAAATCATCTCTTTCGAGAATTTCCAATAGAATTGGTTTTTCCAATAATTCAAATTCGCTTGACTGAAACAATTTATCACTCTTGGTACAAATTTCTTTCAAACAAATAGCCTTTAATTGTTCAAACTTTTCGTTATCATAAATTGATCGTAGAATGCCAACTGGATTTTCGCTTATATAATTTTGATGATTATTAATAAAGTATTCCATTGTATAATTGTAAAGTAACTCAAGACCAAGATCATCAGATGCAATTAATAATTCCAATATATCAACCCCAGTATAATCATTTATTTCTATTTTACACGTATACAAAAAACTTTTAAAATAAATTATAATTAATTAATTAATTAAATTTATTATTTACAATTTTTTTTTTTTTTTTGACCTACTTTAAAATTATTTTGAAAACCAAGTCATTAATGTTTGCCTTATCAATCACATAATACCCGTTTTGTTTACTTGCATCAGATAAAGCGTTTTTGAAAAATGAACAACGCGCACTCAGAATTGACGAATGTGCATGAAATTCATTAACGTTTGGTTCTTCACCAATATTAATCTTTACGTCAAATTTATTCTCTGAACCTAGCAAATTTTCAAAGTCATTAAAGTATTCGGTTAATAATAATGATGAATCCATATTCTCCAAATTTATGTATTTTATCAATTTTTTTTTTTAAAAAAGAAAATTTTACTTCGACGGAATTTTTAAAAATACCATTATTATCATGAGAATATCTTATTTATACCAGAAATGTATTCATTAATTAATTTTGTGGTTAGAAAAATTTGTGGTTAGAAAGAGTTGCCTGATTAAACTAACACGCATTATATGACTAGAATTGAAAAGGCTAAACCGGATTTTAGTTGTCATCACATATAACATGTGATCAGATCATTTTCCCACGATAAATACACTTGAATAATTTAACAAGAAACTGAAATCTGTGAACAAAAAATTTTAATAAAAAAAATCTTACTATGTTGAAATAAATTTTCATTTTTATCGATCCCAGTATTTGAACCACTCTTTAATATACCACGATGTTTGCATACCACAAATACAACATGCTTCTGGTGAGCAAAGCATAGTTCCAAAGATAATATTAATGAATTCAGAGGTTACTTGAAAATCAATTGTGGATTGTGTATCTGACATTTTCTATGT